GAGAACATTTTTGCTCGCAACCTCTATCTCGACAAGGTATTGCAGTTCGAGCATTGACACCTGATCCGACTGACAAGTTTCTCAATGTGCCCTGCATCTAGCAATGTTCCAGACTGTGCACTCGTGTCTCAAGCAAGCTAGAGGCTTCCAAGCCCAGAAAGCAATTGAAAGCATCGCGGTCTGGGGCCAGCGCGCGCACCCCTGGCCGCAGCACTTCTGCATAGGCGGCACGTGACAAAAGTGTCACAAACTGCCTGCAAAGGCGCTTTACATCTGTCGATGTTGCCCTTGGGAACTGGTTTGGGTCGAGCGGGGCCTACAGAACGTAGTCATTCGCACCAATGTGATCCAACGTATTGTGCAGGATGTTGGCACCGGCACAGCGCGTGGACGGAGCATTGTGGCCATTCGGGGTACTTCATCGTATCTAGAGGAGCTTGACTAATTCAGTTGATCGTTCATACATATGCTCTTCCTTTCTTCTCCCGACTCAGCTGCCGTGCCGCAGGTGCGCAAGCAAACAGAATTTCCAATCCTGGTGATACTAGTGAAAGAAGTCTGCGAATGGTGCATCTGGGCAACCCCCTCCGGGATCGATCTGCCGCTTCGAAAGCTTTGCGAAGCCACTCTGACCCGAAGAAGTTCACCACAGAAGAAGCATCGTTTGCATCAAACCAATCCTCGGTTGGGCGCGGTCTGGGACGTGTGAGACGCATGGGCACCAAACGGCTTTTATTCAACGTATCTTGATTTGCACGGGATGGTGCATCGCAAGTCTTCACCTAGCTCTATGCCACGATGTCCATGTTGCAAAACTTGTCGGCTAAGCACCGCGTCCTTTGTTGGACGAGTGGCTCTGAGCATGATGTGTGGCACCATCCCTGACCAGGCAGGAAGGTAAGGACCCCTGGTCACCACCTCAGGTCGCGGACAACTCTCTCTGTCCTATTCAATATTTTTCTCAATGAGCGTGCTAGACTCTGCTGACTTGTAGGCTCCGAGCATTTCCACGCAGTATTGGTGGACAGTGGCCTTCAACCCCCGATGTTTTAGGAATGAACTGGACCGTCAGAACGGGTGGGTCTTTTGCTCTAGCACCAGACTGACACAACCGAACGTCGCCTACTTCGGAACTTTTTCCAAAAGCTGCTCTGCAGTGCGACAGCCACGGTTGGGTTGGCCTTCGCAAATGAAGCCCACCACGGCCATGAGGAGACGTGTGGCCTCTGCAAAGGCTGCCTTCCTTGGGTCCTGGCAGGGTCTTCGGCTGGAGCTTTTGTGGCCCGACAGACAGAGCCATCCCCTCCCTCCCTTCCCACCTGCCGCGCAGCTTCTGGCACATCGCTACCCAAGAGGGCTGCTGCCCTGGCTCCGATCGAAAGCCGGTCCCCGATCGCGACGCTGTTGATACACACTCGAAATGGATCTTGTGTATCAACAAGCGTCCAACCATGAAAGCTTGCAAAGGCGAGCAAAAGAAGCAACCTGTCGAACAACGATATCTGTTTCTGTTGCAAGCCTACTCATGGCGGTAGGATCGTTCTCAACCCAACCCTTGTATGATTCATCAGCATGATGAGGGCCAACTCCATCCGCAACATCTTTACCATGATCAGCAAACATGGCACCAGTCTCACCAATATCACAAGCTACAGCGCTACTGTCATCCTCACACAACCGTCACACTCGTAGCATCGCCATCACCATCTGCAATTTTCATCACTCATCATCACCACAACCATCACCACCGTCGCCATCATCATCGTCATCATCACCACCACCACCACCACCATCATCACAGCATGAATATGTTCCTCATCGGTATCGCCATCATCAACATGGTCAGCTATCATAACGACGCCAGCACAGCGTTATCACCGACACCACAACAGAAGCACACAAAGTACTTCTTCCTGCGTCACCGCATTCACGCGTCATTCACTTTGTCGTTCGTGTCGCATCATGCATCCGTTGACGCATGCACTTTTTACAACTGTTGTTTATGGGCCGTGCCATGCGCTGATTAGGATCCATCGCCGTCATGCCCACCCCGACCATGCATCAGACTGCAATGCAAGGCCTGCGGAGAAAGACCATCTCGTCAGCTTCGTCTCCAACCTCGGCCTTCGAGCTCAGTCCAATGTCGATACGCTTTCATCTGCGGTATGTGAGTTAGGCATAACCTCAGGCAAGCCAACGTTTTCTGAACTAGTGCGACTTTCGAAGTGAATCGTTTGCTTTGTCCTTGGCCGTGCGATCTAGGTTCTAGATCTCAGAAACCTTTGTTTCAGAGGCGCGAAGGTAGGGTACCTCGATTAACTCCACATCGAAGAAGGCAAGACGCTGAAGGCGAGCGAGAGAGAGGTGGGGGTGAATGACACTGGCATGAATCATCGTGAGCCAGGGCAGGAAAAGACATGTCAGTCAGTGCCAACGGCAAAAGAAATTATGAAAAGACAGCCCTGAATGCTGGATCTTGGTGGCCATTTTCAAGCATCGCGATATGTTTGGCCCCTTCCCTCCTCGAACTGCTCGTTGCCAGGCAGGCCTGCATCTCGCTCCTACTGCATTTGGTTCATGACGAAACGAAACTGACCCTAGCCAAGACTTGTACCTTCGAAGAGCGGCTTCTTGAAACTTAGAGCCCCTTCATCAAACTAAAGCCCCAAGCGAATTCAAAAACCGGGCAAAGCTTCGTGCTCTGTCTGTTGGCGGCCATGCTTCACACAATTTGGAAAGTAATGACACATCCCTTTCTCCGAATGCCTGCTCCGGTGGGCACAGCTCGGCGCAAGCTGGGCGCAGGAAACCAGGTTGCATCGCCCAGCACATCGAAAGGGTCCGCCCTTGTGCGAGGGAAGACTGTCTGCAGAGAGGGAGACAGCACCCTGTCTTAGACTCACCAACTCGTAATCCACGAACGGCAAGACTAGAATAGGAAAAAGCTGTTTGGTCAAGCGGCCCTGCCAGCCGCAGAGCACAGGCAGTGAAAATGACCGGACTTGTGGTGCTTTAGCATACTGAGTGACAACAACGTCAACGATCTTGAAACCGTCATGTTCCCTCGGGTGCATGAGCCAGCTGCTTCCACGTGCTCGAACACGATGGGGATGCCGGATAAACCTTGTTTGCTCAACAGTCAGACTATCAGGTGATGGGCCTGCGGCTCATGCAACAATAGGGTCCCCGAAATACCTACTTAAGCATCGACAAACACTAAGCTTAAACCTTGAACCTTAACACTCAAACCCCACAAACACAGCAAGCCTTGACTAATGTCACAGCGATCCAACATCCGCCGTTTCTTTCTTCCCGGCAGCCCCAGGCTGTAGCGGTACCGGCACCACGCCTCTGAGGATTCACGCTTCAGGGTCCCAGGATCGTAGGGTTTGGGGATATGCGGTGCTTCGAGACTGCTTGCAGAAACTGAACACTGGATTCACTCTATTTTATGTGCTCAGGTCGAGCTGTCGAGTATCAATGCCGCATAAATACGGTGTAATGAGGCTTGACCGTATCGGTATGCCAACAACTTTGGGCTTAGAGTTGTTCTGTGGCACTCCGCTGGTGTGATTCTTCGGAAGATTCGCCACCCACACCAATCTCCGCAGCGATTGCTGAGCGGAGCCAGGCTGTTTCCGGTAGAGCGAGGTTGCTAACTGAACGTGACTTACGACGAGCTACAGTTACAGTGCAGATTCATTGGTAGGTGTGTTTCCACAGCTATCCTTCTATGCACAGTCGCAGAAGCAAGGACAAGTCCAAGCAAGTTCATTTTGACGGGGGCTGTTCTGCCGGGCCTGCCGGGCCTGCCGCCCTGACCGCTGGGTGTGGCGGCACAACGTAGGGCGCTGCTCCTGACGACCCGGAACTGGCAGAGTCATCTCTTGGTTCCCGTTCTCTGCACGCCTGTGGCCGCACTGTGGGGAGGTATTTGCACGGGTGCAATCATCGGACCTTCGGACAGCATGGCATCTTTGACTTGGCAACATCTCCGCATCTCATGGCTCATCAGCGAGCCCGGCCTGATGGCCGCCCAACGCCGCCAGCACCCTGTGGGTCAGCGATGCACGGGGCACTACGGCATTACGGCATTGGTAAACTGCGAAGTTCAAGCAAGGACTATCGGACTCGATCGGTCTGTCACAGGCTGCGGATTCGTTCAGTGTCCCAGCTCTCTCGCAAATACGAGTACGAAGTTCCCAAAGCTCGGCAGTCTCCCAGCTGCAGCCTGATGCCACGCCGCTTTCCCCAAAGCAGGTGCTGGAGGAGAGTCCAAAGGTTCTTCGTCATTCTGCCGAATTCTAGAGTTGCTTAAAGGATTCTGCACACCGGATGTTTACGTACACTGTTGGGTTCCAGTCTTCTTTCAGGAACCTGGGCAAACCGAATGTCCAGTTCACGTCAATATGCCTCGGACTGCGTACCGTAGCCATGGCTCTCACGTGGCCACATAGCTCAGGCAACCCGACTTTGTTTGCTTAATGCGATAAGGTTCCTTGTGCTGATCAGGGGTTGGGCTGAGACGCCAAGACTGGCCTCGAAGGCCCCCAATGGCTGCAACATGCCGGTTTGGGTGACGACAGCGACGCAAACGAAACGTTTTGCCAAAAGCGCTCGCTTTCTGACATGCTTTCGACTTGCAGATGATGTGCTGAACAGCTTAGCATACAGCTGAGCTGCGACGAGTTGATGCGCTGCGACATCTTGCTAAGTAGCACTCGACAGCTCCCCACCGCCATCATGGGGGACATATTCAATATGACTCTGCTTAGGGTAAAAGACGCTTGAGCCAAATGGCTGCAAGGCAAAATCAGTGCACGTTTGCAGAGGTTGGGCAAACGTACATGCCGCCGGCGTCCATCTTCGCATGCATGTCTGACCCGAGCCTACAGTAATTGATTCTCATTCAAGCAGACCGGAGCATGGCTTGGGCAACCCTCCCCGAGCCATGGTCCAATAGTGCGCCGATGAGGGCCCGAAATCTGAGCCGGGCCGGCTTCCGTCGCAGCACTTCCGGCGACATGTGGGTGACGGTGCCCACTTTGTCCGTAAAGATCTGGTTTGGCCTTCGTATCAGTCACATTCCCTCTCCAATCCTGCTGGAAGCACAAAGCGATGATGCGTTGTCCTTCGTGTTGTTTGTTCGTGCTTCCTTGTGTGGTCGTCTTGCTTTTGGAGGGGGAGGTCGTGTTTGCTTTGCATATTTCACGCATTGGCTTTATTGCTCGTTTCGTCGCCCCATGCCTGTATGGCTCCTGTAGGTCTACTAAATCTCGGAGAACCACGAGCAAGAAAAAAACAACACACACACACACGTGTTTAACAAACACATGATTCCTGTCGTCATGTTCTTACGACCGAAATTGAGAAGCCGAACGCTCCATCACACACATGCTCGAACGTGACTTGCAACATGACCCATGGAGGATTCAAATTGATTAGCATCCCGTCAAAACCATCTTAGCACGACTGTCCTAGTAGCTCGAGGTCCGAAACCCAGTTGAAGAGACAGGGAGAGTTGAGGTGCAGCTTGGATACTTGAAATAGCACGAGAGGCCGAAGTCCGAGACCTTCAGCAGCCTCCGGTGGAAACCACAGGCGCAGGCAGCATCGAACGAAAAACAACTATAAACGAAACTGCCTCGTCGTTGCGCTTCCCCAGACACGAGCCAAAGTGTTCTTGGTTTCGAGGTGTTTGCGCAGCAGCGCGGAGGTTCAACACTTCTGGACCCTGATCCTTCGTGGGCCCAGGTTCCTAAATAAGGCAACAAGCTCCAAAATAGAACAACAATACCCCCAAAGGCCAGTGCTCCCCTTGTTGGCACCAGAACGCACGGAGACCCATGCCAGAGATGCTGTTGGAAGGGACTAGTTGTCCCTCCACATCCCTCCACGAGCTTGTAGCTTCACCCGGTTTGCTGTTTCTCTATCGCTGCCTGAATGCTGCCAAGCACATCGCATGCTGTTGCGATGCCTCGCCACCTTTATGTCCCATCACTCCTTTTCGCATTCAGCATTCAGGGTTTGCAGTGTAGATTGGTTTTGCTACTGACCACTCGTTTCTTCTTTTTTTTGTCACCTCTTTTCCTGAGGCGGCGGACCAAGGGACCCGTACAAACATGGATTCACCACCAACATCACATGTAATCCCACTGGCGGGCCCTTGGTGCACAGTGATCTCGGGGCTTGCCCTAGATGTTCAGGTTTCAGGACTTGACAGCCACGACTCTCTCGGCTTCCTTCTGGGACTGCTTCGGCAGGTCTTGCCGGGTGCAAGAATCGGTGCTCCAAACGCCTGAGCTAATGCACTTCAAGTCCCCAAGCTCTGGGCGCCCCACGTTTTTCTAATTGACTCGTCAGAGGACAGGAGCACATTCTCGGCCTCCCAGTGCCGGCTGATAGGCTAGCCGCTTTCCGACTTCCAGTGCGACTGCTCTGCACCGAGATGTAGACCGATGTGCGTCCATCGAGTGCAGAACAGCTGTACACATAGATGCAGACGACGACTAGTCATAGATCTGGTTGCACGTGGCAATCTGCAAGCTGATTGGAGAATGCCGTCGAGCCTTCAAGTCACGATGTGCGATTCCATTCCTGCAGGCTCGCTGCGACGACTTTCTGGAATCTGAATTGATGGGAGTTCTGAACGGAACCCGGGAAAGCAAGCAACGATCAAACGCCAAAACCCTGGCTGTCGAGTGCAAGTAGTAGACAGCTCTCAGGATCTGCTGCATGGCAATGGCAGTCTGCTCCTGCGCGGACAGGTGGCAAGACAAGAGACAAATACTCGCAGAAATGAAAAGCTTCGAGCTTCCCATTTCAAACGCTCGACACAGAAGTCTTGGAGAAGTTTTGAGAAGACCCGATCTCACTAAAACCTCGCCACTGTGCCTCAGCAATGACCCTTTAACTTGCATGGCCGCCCAGGCTGAGACCGCACAGGGCATAAAGGGGCTACAGCCTTCGCTTCAGTGCACAGGTCGCCTCACAAAGGCGGCCGTACATCCGCACCCGATTCAGGAGAGTGCCTCACAGAAGCGCCGCGGAGCTGCAAAAGATAGCAGCGCACGCGAGCGCACCTCCTGTGCACAGCTCCATGACGAGCAGCACGTGCCTGCAACACATTGATCAGTGCAGTCTTAAGACCCGGCCGGAACAAACTGAAGCGTGGGACTGCTTGCGCTGAAACAGATGTCGCAGATATCACGTTGGAGCCAGTGCTCAGCGCCGTGCTTTGGATCCTCGAAGATCTCGTAAAGCATAATGATATTTGGATGATCCACAGCCTTCTTTCAAGCACAAGCAGCCCCTCTGGAGATGTGGACACTTGTCTAGGTGCAAGGCCACACTTTGCAATGCGAATCACATAGGCTGTGTAACACCCCGAAACCGGCATTCAAGGAGCCAAATAAAACTGGGGCTACGCATGGCTGCTGCTGCTGCTCCTACCACTACACTACCACTACCACTA